CTTGGTTATGTCTGAATGCTGGGGCGTGTGTATGGAGCCTCATGAAGGTGCATGAAAGAGGCTAAGGAATAAAGAAAGTAACAGGAAATAAAGAAATCACATTTCCAGCAAAATCTGCAATGGGAATGCTTAAAGTGACTGTGACACGCATATCCATGAATTAAAAAAGGCATAGAAAATATATTTATATTTAAGAAACTTGGYACAATACACATGATTTTACCCATTATGTCACATAATTGGCTCATTTTCTTTTGAACTTGGCTCAGCTAAAGTGAAACAGGAAGTGACACCAAAGGGGAACTCTGAAAGAAAGAAAGCTCTCTGGTTTTTGTTTACTTAAACAATATTATTTTAAGTACGGTTCTGTCTCATCTCTCTATGATAGTAATTAAAATAATCTAAAGAAACATCAGATTCTTCACTACAGTCTGTGTTGTTAGCCATTTTAGCAATGCTCACATGCAGACATTCCCTGTTGACATCACTTCCTGTTTCTTCACATGCAAATATCTCAACAACTGTTCATCTCAGCAGCAYGAAATACATTTAAACAATATGTTATCAGTGTTACCCTTCCAAAAATACATTACTTTTTTTTTACAAAAAATTGATATCACAGACACTTTAATGTTGAAAGATTTTTGTTGAATAGCTAAAAAAGCTGAAATTAAACTAAAAATAGCTGAAATAAAAAGTAGCTGAAATTATAACAAAGAAACAAAAAGGGCACATGTTTGCTAATTTAAGCAGCAGAAAGCTGAAATTGTTACAAAAATGTGAATTTAGCTCAAAAAAACTCAAATTAGCTAAAAATATAGCTAAAGACAAAAACCATCTGAAATTAGCAGGGAGCAGCTGAAAGAAGCACAAAAAGCTTAAAATAGCAGAAAGTTTAAATTAGTAGAAAAATATCATAAAAGGTAAAAAAAAAGCTAAAGACAAAAACCAGCTGAAATTAGCAGAGAGCAGCTGAAAGAAGCACAAAAAGCTTAAAATAGCAGAAAGTTTAAATTAGTAGAAAAATATCATAAAAGGTAAAAAAAAAAAATCTGAAAAAAAAACTAAAAATAGGCCAAATAGAATACAAAGTAAGCTGAAATTAGTACAAATTAGTTAAAAGAGCAGTACGAGAACAAAAAGTAAAATGTACAAGATTTATGGATGTTTTGAAGGGTTTTAAGATGTTGAAAACAGCTCATTTTCAATGAGAAAAACATGTCAGAACAAGCTAAATATCTATAAAAGGTATCAATTGTTAAAGTACCAAAATTCACAGTCAGAATGYCCTGAAGGAGCTCAATATTTTAAAATAGAAATTGCTGAAATAGCACAATAGATGTACTCCTTTTTGTACCTAAGACTTTCAAAAAGTTATAGCAGCTCACCGTCATGATTCATCAAGGCTTTTGTTGTGGATCAACCTCCATCAGATTGTTTGTTACAGGCAGATGGATTTTCCTATCACCTGCAAAGTGTAATTTGAAAGCACTTGCCTTCATTCAAACAATTTCCAGTGACAACCTATCTAATGATTCCTTATTTTAATATATTCAGATCCTTACAGACAGCTACCCTACTGTAATTTGTCATGGAGCCAAAATGAAAATAAATCGGACGGGCCACACAGCTGTAAATACTAAAGACCTGGCTGTCCTGCACACAGTCCTAAAMCTCATTGTCATGTGCTGTTTTTCCCATCAAGCTCTGCCACATGCTGCTATTTGCCCCACAGAGAAAAATTTGGCCACAGCCCGTATTAAATGGGAACCATCTCAGACTGACAGGATTTGATTTTGTTTCTATTTATGGACCCAAAAGAAATCAGAGACTTAACAGTGAAAGCCCCCTGAGTGTTTTGACAGGAATGAAACGATTCTGTCTCTATATGTGACTGACTCTTTATTAGGCTTCATCCATCCATCCAAATTGTTTCAGAGAGACAGAGAGAATAGCTTGGTGGAATCATATTCATTGCTCCCATCTGTTTATGTCTTTTTACTTTTGGAAGAGAACTTGAGGGGCAGGAATGACCAGGATTCTGTGGCAGTCAGGCATTTGCACTTTTTCCTACTCTTTGTCCCAAATCCAGTGTGGTACAGACTTATAGGCCCACTCCTGACCGTATGGTTTTGCCATCCTGGAGCTCTGTCAGGATGTCTGGAGACAGATAATCCTGGCTTTGATTATCTAAAAAATGTGCACACAACTGCRTCTGTCTACTTGCCCTCATGCAAAATTATTTAACTGTTGTCACTCTTCCTTACACATCCTTTTCTCGTGCACATCCAGATGATCCGCTCCGAGTCGATTCAGTAATCTGTTCAAGACTCTGGTTGCCATTCATCAGAGGCCATTCCTATCTCATGTCAACATCAAAGACCTTGTCTCTCTGCGTGATCTTGGAAATCTGCTCCACCAACTCCCAGGCTTCCTGCAACACTCCTGGTCAGAGTGGTGTCTGCATGCAACACCATTACTTCTCATTAATGTCAGCACAGCTTGTTAAAGATGGTGCTGACACTTAGTWAAAATTAGATGTGTTGCTTTAACTRAGAGAGGTTGGGATTTCTTGAAAACATTTTGGATTGCTTCATCTGTTTTTCTCTGTTATGGGTAAAGAAGATGAGCCAAGGTTAATGTGGTGGCCTACATTTTATTCAGGGCAATGAAGCCACAGTGAATTTAGGAATAAGCATTTACACAACTATTACATTTCAGAAAAAAATTTTGAAAGGTGCCAATGCAGATACCATCTAAATTTCCAATGTATTTCATATATTTTTTTGAAAAGCCCAGTAGTTTTTTGGGACTTACTTATGTTTTAATCTAAGCTGACAAAGTGTCTACATGTTGGTGAATAAACTGTATGGCGAAGGTAAAAGATAACCAAGAAAAAAAAGACGCTACCAGCAGTTCATTAGGTTATTCCCTGTAACCACCTTAAACTGTAACGTTAATGTAAAAGTGCCTAGTTGTCACATATGTATTGTTTTTGCTCTAAAATGTAATGTGTGTCTTAGATGAATGATACAGTCTTTTCATATTTTAAACAGTCAAAGTAAGTGTGTTTTGTGGTAGAGCATGTGTCAAAGTCAAGGCCTGCGGCCCAAATGTGGCCCKCATTGACTTCTGTCAGTTTAGGAATTTAGTCTCTCCTGGTGCTATGTAGATATCTTTAAATCTGTTTGGGTTGTATTTTTGAGCCCATTTATTTTTTATTTTTTTTCTATTTTCTATGAGGTTTTCTGAGCTATTACTTTACAGTATTTGCAACTGAAGTGCTAAAATAAGTTCTGGACTTACCAACAAGTAACTCTCCTCTCACCCTGGGTCAGACTCTGGCTCCAACATGTAAGGCTGAATGGAAAAGTCGTCTCTTGTTAATTTGGATTTAAGGAGACAGCCTCAGAACAAGTTGATCTGACACACACTAAAAAAAAGTGGTGAAAGAGGGGTTTGTGGAGTTACAGTAAGGACCCCCAGTTGAATTATTTAAGTGTAAAAAAAGAAGGATTTAAAAGCAAATGAGCAAATTTTAACTCATAAATGGTTGTTTGTCTCTTTTGTCCCTTTGTGGCCCTGTGATGGGCTTGTGGCCAGTTCAGGGTGCCCACCCACCTCTCATACATTGACTGCTGGCATTGTGCTTTCTCATTTTTCTTTCATTTTTTACAACSCTTTGAGGTGAACCTTGGATTTCTGCCCTTTTTTCTCAGCCATTTGTACCCAGGAAGACAAAAAGCCTACATTCTGATACATGGATTGTATAAGAAGGGTAAAATTTTGAAGTGTTTGTAAAGATTTAAGAAAATTTGGACAGCTCAAAAGCTAAAGTGAATCACACTCTGGACGTTTTGTGTTTAAAAAAATGTATCTTCAAARATATCTTCTAAAATTTTAAACCTTAAACTGCCATTGTGTAAAAACTATAAAAGATATCTAACTGTCAGTTCATTCAAGTAATGTTAAACACTCCATATTACATTTTAATGAATGTGTTTTTTACTGGGTAATAAATCTAAGCTATAAAGCTCCAAAAGGGCTTGATTTTCCTACTTGTTTCACTAAAATCATATTGCACAGAGGAATGTTTTCACTGTAATTTGCTATTCTTGTCTATGCTGTAGGACACTACCACTACAGGTCACAACATGATTCCAATTGAGCTACGTTTAAATGTATTTATGTTTCTTTTGGAGTTGAAAATTAAAAATTTTAATAAAAACAAAACAAAAAGTAAAAAATGTACTTCAGTTATTTWGCGCCCAAATTAAAAGCCAGACTAAAAGCTATTTTTTCCATTGAAACAAAAGCCAGAGTTACTTAYAGAAGTGTTTGTGTTTATTCCTTCCTGGCTGGTTTTCATGGCTGTGAACAAGCAGTGTGTTTGGTAGGTTTGATACAAACCACCCACGAGGATCATTCCTGAATACTGAACACACATAAATCAAGTGAAAACAGATAAATGAAGAGACACTCGCTCATGTGCCTCTCTGACCCTGCTGCCTTTGGCATGTTCTCCTGTGAAAATGTAGTAGAGTCTTTATGTACTGCAGTTCMTGGCTACTCTATGAAGCCATGCATATTTTAAAAACGCAGTATTTGATATTCAGCCTGTAGCCCTCTTTCCTCCTGGCTGATTTTTATAATATGATTGCAGACCCTTTTTCTCTTCGGTGTTCATTTTTATCCAATAAGCTCTTGTCTCGCATCTCAGGAAATTAACTTGTCATACTGTGTCTTTTTCATTAATGAGAATATCTTTTCACTGCTGTTTATTAAAATCCAGGTAGCAGCTGATGAGACTGTGGCCAGAGGTGATTTCAGTACAACAGCTGCTGCTTATTTGTCTGTTTTTTTAGGTGGGGGGTCCAGGTCATTTTAAATAGTGCTGAAGATGCAGTTTACTTTGGCTCCTTTGGATGTCTTTCATTCTATCAAAGTCACTCTAAGCTGTACCCTCTCACTTACCTTTCATCTCTTTGCATCCCTCTAAGGTGGACCTTGGATTTCTGCGGTTCATCTCAGCAATCGGCACCCAAGGCGCCATTTCCCAGGAGACGCACAAGATTTACTTTGTCAAGTCCTACAAAGTCGACGTCAGCTCAAACGGAGAGGACTGGATCACTTTGAAAGAAGGTTCCAAACAGAAGGTACTCCTCAATGTGTGAGAAAACTTCACTGTAGCTAAGAGCAGTATGATGCAAAAATTTGTCAAAACTTCTGCAACCTAATGCTCCACATAAACTTTTGGAATAACAGTATATTTTTATTTTTAAATGCACAAATGATTGTGCAATAAGTCGCTTCTCTTAGAATGTATAATAGCAGTAAAACAGTCAGCATTACTACAATCCACTTATCTCTGGATCGTACTGCTGAACTCTGTAAATGGAGAAATTATGTAATTATGCAACTACAAACTGATTAATGTGATAAATACTGTGTATGGAAATGTTATGTATAGCCTCTTCAGTGATAATGCAACTCTGAAATATCAACAGGGATGGTTGTAGAAGAAAGGCTGCCTCTGTTTTATATCAGGCTTTGTTCAACTTGTCATAAAGAAGCAGTGATGACAATAGTTTTGACAAACGGGGCAAGAGGTGACTGATGGAGACAGCAGAGGCTGTCATGTTTGAGCAGCTGGTAGAGGTAGGTCCAGAAGAGAAAGACAAAGAGAGGAAGGAAGGGAGGAGGAGAGGGAGGGATAGCATGCTTGAACAAAGAATGACAGTCTATAATCATCATTTGCTAATCAGCTTGTCAAAGAGAGCAGGTTTTGTCCATCTGGAAGAGTCCAAGCTCAACTGAGGGTGTCCTCAGGAACAAGAAAGCATGTATTAGTCTTGCAGAGTTTGCATTTTTTTTTTTGTGAAACCCAAATAACATTTCTTTCTTTTGAAGGAAAGCATCTTAAACCACAAGTACGAATCGTTCAGCCTCAACAGACTATCGAAACAAGTGCTGCTCATACATGTGCCCCCAAGCCTGATTCTTTTATGGTCTCTCCAGAGTACACTGTTCCTTTTTGTGAAGTGGCAGCTTAAAGGTGCCGCCGTTAGCCCGGCTTGTGTTTTTCTGGCCTCTAAAGTGCTTTTGTGTGGTAGAGCACCATTTGCAAAATGCTGAGCCTGCAGTTTAGCGTCTTTGCACAGCTCTGGAAAAAGCCACTTTACAGTCAGCGAACAGAGAAGAGACTCTGTGTGACATTTAAGTAAATGGATGACTTGGTAGCTGGGTCCTTTAGTGATGTGGCTGATAGGTATCGCTCAAAGACTTGGTTGCAAACTGTTAGGCATGCTGTATGACCCAATGGCTCTCAGCCATTCTGGTGTTTTAGTTCATCCGAAATAAGCRAAACTGCTATCTTCACTTCTGTGCAGACTACTCATTTAGCTGGATTCCTTTCTTCTCTGTAACTGCTGTCAGGGAGGTCAGAAGACCATGTGGRCACCTTGGAGATTTAATTACTCAAAAAGAACTGTGACTGACTGTGAAGACTAGTTGTTTGACTAGGTGGCCGGCCTCTTCTTATGGTCCCACTTGTAAACTGTCATCTGACCCCAGGGGAGAATGCTGACATCTCTGACCTTTCAATGAGACACTGGGGTAAAACCTGCTCCCAGACTTGAAGCAAAGGACAGAAAAAAGGTCAGCTTGAAACAATCTGGTCTTGTCTGTGTTGCACATCTAGAGTCAGGTTTCCAATCTTTCACAGGCCTTCAACATGTGGTTGAAGAAGAGCTGCTGGAATTTTTTTCAACATTTACAAGGAAACTATTTAGAAGTATGAACACATTCAAATAATTTCATAACCCTATGGTATTAAAACTGTAGAATCAAAGTATGACTGGGTTGATGTATGTGCCAACAAATTTCTCAAGTCACCTCTTGTGTCAGTTTCTTCCCTTCACCTCGCATAAGCAAAGGTCTATTTCTAATGTTTAAAAGCTCTGTGAATTGTTTTTATTGAAAAATTAGCATATGTTTTAAAGGTTTTCTTAAAGCTCAGCTTTGCTGTCAGCAATCATCTTCTCTCCTGTCTTTTTTCACAGATTTTTCAAGGCAACACCAATCCAACAGAGGTTGCCAAGACAATGCTACCCAAAGCCACGCTGACGCGTTTCTTACGAATCCGTCCAGTTACTTGGGAAACAGGCATCGCGTTGCGGTTTGAGGTGTATGGCTGCAAGATATCAGGTTGGTTACCAGTCAAATGCCAGCTAATCCTCATACACACACCAATGAGTTGCAACTGAGTCTTTGTTCAGTTACAGCTGCAAGGATGCAACACTTCAGCTAAACGTTTAAAATGCTAAGACAATGTGGTGACCTTTACTTTACACACAATTTATTCACATTTTAGTTGTAATTTTCAGGGACAGTCCCAGKTGCACAAACACCTTGCCTAAAAGCAGTTTCTGCATATTAATGGTAAAGGAATAAGGATGACTCAAATATACCCCATGTTTAAATGTACCTCATTCAATATAAATGAAGTAAACAGCTGGCAGGCAGGAGAGTCTAGGCTGGGTGGGCTATATATGGTCCCAGCCCTCTGGCTGATTTKTTTCCAGCCACAGTCTGCTCTTTGCTTATAAAACTTTGAGTTCAGCAGCAGTCTTCTCATCTTTGCTGTTTTGTGGATGATCTTTTAAAGTGGAGTGTACATGAGTGAATCCCTTTTGTGTGGTTTTTGCACATCTGCCTTCATCTCAGTGGGGTAATGAACACATGCACTGAATAACTGCCTGGGTGTTTTGTTCTTCTGCATTTAGATTAAGAGAAAAATAARCTTTTTTGGTTAGCGTTACTCATAAACTTTCCGTTTAAGTTTAACTTTGTTATTTTTTGACAAAAGCAATGTGTGTTAATTAACATTAAAGCAGGGGTGCTATGCAAAATTTACTTTTTTGAGCTTTATATCATGTTATGATGTCATTCCCTCATCAAAAACATACCCAGAGTGTTGCTTTGACTCATTCATGCATGTTTGAGAAATCATTTAATCTTCCATGGTAGCCATGTGGAGCTGCCAAAGTACTTGTTGGTACAAAGCACCACCTATTGCCCATAGCACCTCCCAGGAGCTCATTCTCCAGCCAAGCTCTGGACCCACAGAGCACTCCTCCCCCGAAGCATTGTTTGAAAACATGCTGATGAAGTGGAAGTGAAATGGTAGGAGGTTTTTAAAGAGACTGAGACCAATTTCAAAGATTTTACAGTAAATGGGGCATGATGGAAAGTCAAATTTTATTTTTGTTTTATCCAGCATTTTCATAATAACTGAAGGTAACAYAGTTACTTGATTGTGGTATAGAATTGAACTATGTGCCTGGAAAATACATTATACCCCCTTTTAACAGTATATTTTCCAGAGTTAGCCAAAGGGTAATATCTTATCTGCTGTTCTTGGACTGATGTTACAATGTAGTCTTAAAAACAGAATACAAAATTAAGTAGCATGCCTTGAAGAAATTAATTAAAGAATGGTGTTTTGTTAGAAGATTTAGCTGTGGCAACGTTTTAATTGAGTTAACTCCAACAGGTAATCAGTTGTCGACATATATCTGATAATTACTTTCACAAAATTTGTCCTAATGTGACTGTGTATAAGTTACAGTATCATCTGCATACACATTAATAGTACAAATTGAGCAAACAGATGGAAGATCATTGATACATATATGAAATAAAAATAATAGTGCAAACGTTCTCTTAGTAACTACTGTATGTAGCAGATGACTTGGGAYTTAGTATACAAAGTGACATTCATTTAACAAATATGTTTCAGTTCATTTAAGTTTCAAGGAAAATAAATGTTATCTGTCCTCATATACCAAGTTTCTAACTGTTTTGTGATTTTATGGACAACTCATACACCATGCCTGTGTGGCTTTTAAAATAGTAGTAGAGGGCACTGGGAGTACATCAGGGTTACAGCTGGAGCATGTGTTTAGGGCACATAATCAAACCGCCGTACTGAGCATAAACAGATCACAGGATCGAAGTCACCGCATGGTCTCTGTGTGACGTCAGCATCTTTGGCTGCTCTGAAAGCTCTGCCAACTCTGCTGCATGCTACGAGCACTGTTAGGGGAGAGAAAGAGAGAGAGAAAGAGAGACAGTGAAAGAGAGAGAGAAAAAGACAGTGAAAGAGAGAGAGAGAGAGGGAAACTAAGTCTGCTGAGTGCCATTTAAACTCTGCAACTTGCTTTTGTTCCTCACTGAGTCCCTGATGCCAGAGAAACAACTACAACTACAAATAATGTTTTCAGTCTTCAGGAAAAATGCTGGCATAATTGTGGCTGAGCAACATACCCAAATGTGACACAAAGTAGGGATGAAGAGCTTCACAAATTTTTTTTAAAAGGTTGCACTTTCTAATAATGCTGTTAAACTTTATAGGCAGCACAAAAAAGGACGGGTTAAATGTCACAAAAAGTTTACCCACAATTTATCATAGCCGCGTGCCCCTGCTGATATAAACAGCTATTCTTTATTTGAAAAATCCACCACCCTGTCACTGGTAAATATGTCATGGTGTAAAAATATCTCTAAACTACCACTAATGCTCCACCCAAACCCAGAATGTTGCCCACAGAGGCCTGCATCTTCTCTGTACATATCATCCACAAACACAAACACGAATGCTTGTTCCACTGGGCGTGTCACTGCATTCATGGTATCCAACCCGCTTCTGTGATCACAGCTGAAGTCGATTAAGACCTCCAGATGATCTGGGGAGTTCACTCAAGTATCCAAAGTCACATCAGTCTCTTTTATCTCTCACACACATGCACACATGAGCTTTCATTCACACACATGTACCTTTTTCTTATATCTTGCTACTTCAAAGACGTTCGGAGTGCAGAGCCTTAGCTGCGCTCTGCCAAAGACTAGCTCCTCTGATCACACTCAAACAGATTTGGCCCAAAGACAAATTAAAAAGGGAATAAAATCCCTTTGCTACTTTTCTGGATTGAAAGACTAAGAATTTGTTTTACAATTTTATTTCATCACTGTTGTATTTTGTGGGTTTTTAAGGAGGAGGGAAAGAGGACTGTTTTTGATAACAGGAAAGAGGTTGCCTGAATAGATCCTTGTTCTGGAACTCTTTGTTCGATTTCACCAATTGCAGCCATGCTACTGAGTGCCTCAGCACTACAGTATACACTTTGTCTCATATGGACACATGACATGTAATAATGTCTGGAACCATTCGACTGTGGGGGATAGATAACAAATAAAAGCAGGTCTCAGACTCCATATGTTCTGAATAACAGTGGATTTCATTTGTGCTGGGAAGGTTGAATTTCTGAGTTCGAAGTGGTAAAATGTACTTGTTTATTTTTAATATATCCATTTCATTAAAAAACAAAAACTTTATACACAACAAAATAAAGAAAAAATATAAACAAAAGGCAAAAAAAATCACCCAAAAGTGAGAATTCTTACTCAGAAAATCTATAATTCTTGATCTTTCCCACTGTCAAAATCTAGTGTGACAGATTTACATAAAAAGTGGTGTTAGCTGCAGTAAAAAAATAAATAAAAATAAAAAAACTTTATTTTCGCTTTGGTCAGTTTGTATCTCATTAAATAATTTTCAAACCCAATTCTCTACCATCTCTACATGACAAAAGCTTACTATGGTGTTTGAATGCATTTAATACTGAGAAATACACAATTATTTACTTGAAAAGCTAACACAAGTAAACCTAGTTAATAAGCACAACTATTAGCAACTTGTACAGTTTTTTTCAATTTGCAGGAGGAAAACCAGTCAAGTTTGATCTGACATTATTCTCAGATTCAAGTTCCAAATGCCCTGGTAGATAGAACATTGTATAAAACTTTGAACAATTTGCACAGAGTCAAGGCTTATTGAAGCTTCTGCACGTGTAATACTTTTTATGATAACAGCGACAAAATGCTGCAAATATTTTCACAATAAATTTTCTTGTGTTTTGGGGGGAAATGATTTTATCTGTAGAGTGGGCATTGCCTATAAAGTTTGCCCAGTAATAAAGGCACAAGTGTGTGGACAGTTTTACAGATATCAGATTCAAATGCAGTTTTCAAACAGTAGCAACAAGTTGTCACTCTTGTCACCAAGAGTGTCACAAGTTTAAGACAGCCATTGGCATTTTTGAACACATGGATGCAGAGATGCTTAAGAGTTCAAAAATGATCAGACTGAGGAAGGATAACAATAAAGGGAGAGAAAAAAAAGATCTAACTTTATGGATGGAAAACAGAGGAGCTCAAAGATGCCCTCCCACAGATGTTGACAGCTGTGGTGCAGAAGGTAGATGAGTGCTGCAGCAGCAGATTAAACACAAAGAGCTTGAGCCTTCTTCTGTGCGAGTATGTGAGTCCATGTAGGGAGGGGTAGAGAGATGAAAAGAAAAAGGGCTCCCAGAATGCAGGAGGTGGAAGCACCAACCGAGCAGAGGGTTTTAATTGGCTGCCTGGAGACAACCACTTCAGGCAGGAGAATTAGTATGCATGAGATCTGCAGACAGCAAGAGATAGAGAATAGAGAGAGCGATCACAGTAACATTACAAAGAGTTTGGGGGAAAAGCCCCTCTTTGCTTTGACTTTTGTCTACTCTTCTTGTTTCGTTATGAAACTTCACCAAACCAGACTTTTGGCATACCAAATGATGTTCAACATTAGGACTTGCTTTGGCTCTCAGATTCCCTSTGGTTCCGTCTAAGATCTTCGCAAGTTTCTCAATAATTTGCATCAAAAAGTTAAGCATGCTTTTCCATTTCTTTCTATTTTAGAGTACCCATGCTCGGGCATGCTGGGCATGGTGTCGGGTATGATCACAGACAACCAGATCACTGCATCCTCCCATACCGATCGGAACTGGGTACCAGAAAATGCTCGCTTGTTGACGAGCAGAACGGGGTGGACCCTGCTGCCCCAGCCRCAGCCCTTCAAAAATGAATGGCTGCAGGTGGATCTTGGTGAGGAGAAACTGGTGAGGGGGATTATCATCCAGGGTGGGAAATACCGAGAGAACAAGGTCTTCATGAAGAAGTTTCGTCTCGGCTACAGCAACAACGACTCTGACTGGAGGATGGTGTATGATGCCATTGGGAACAAGCCAAAGGTAAGTTTTTACCTTGTGTGCCTTTAGTTAAATGCATCAAAAACTCTGAGGATAACAACAAAACATGTCTTAAATAACTGGGGTGTTTGATCAGATCTGCTAAGAAATCAGTAGCCTAACCAAATAAGGTATCAAAGTTAAACATCTTTAAGAACCAAGAAAAAAAGGTGTAGTTGCCTTCTAGCTAAGCACTTAGGTGAATCAAAGAACCCTTGATCATTTTGTCTACACTTCTGACAAGAGAAAGAATGGAAATTGATGCTTTGTTTTCTGACACAACTAAAAGATGCTTCTGAAACTGAATAGTCTTTCAGATTCAAAACATCAGTTTGGATTTTGATGCATTTTGTCAGTTTTGACAAGAGATTTGTGACTGGCAGCTATGAGTAAGAGTGGTCATTGGGAGTCATTAATATATTTAGGATAAATATCTTGACATTCTTTACTTAGTTTTCTGTCCCTGCTTTGTATCCCACACGACACACACTCCAGCACACTAGAGAAGAAAGATAAGGATTCAGAAGAAAATGGCCATGGAGGACTTGAACAAAAACATTTGAGCAGCCAAACCCTTTATCTGCCACCCTCACTGTCTGCATGAAAAACACTGACCATACCGTTTTCTCAATCRTACACACATAAACACAAACAATATATACTGTAGTTTACAACCACACRTCTCCCAAGCTGCAACCCCCTGTCCCCAATTACAAATGCCCCTGACAGGGTATAAATCTGATCCAGATGAGCAGACAGTTGATTTATGAAGGGAGTGAAGGGGATCCATATTCCGCCTGTYCTAGTTAGCTGCTCTTCTCCTCTCGCCTAAGAAGTTCCCAGCATCCAAAACACTCCAGGCTCCCTCACATGATCACACCCATTAATCCACTTCTATCAATCCTCTATCTTCTTCTTTGCTTGGTTCCATCACACGTTCCCCACTTTCTCCTCATTTGTTCCTTCCCTTGCAGAGGATCTGAGGCAGAGTTGAAAGGGGTCTGTGCCGTGCTGTTTTCACCCCRTGTCCCCATCTACGCTGCAGTTTAGATCTCATCAAAACCAGAGAGATCTGCCGACCTCTTCTTTTCCCATTACTTGCCATCCAGCTTTTCACTTCCCTCGCATATCACTCATGAAGTTCGAAATACAGGAATGTGCTTTATTGCGTTAGCAGATCTGCATAAAGGCTATTTCATGTTGTGCCTCCTGTCCTTTTCCCTGCCAGATATTTGAAGGTAACAGCAATTATGACACTCCTGAACTGAGGACGGTGGAGCCCCTGCTAACCCGTTTCATCAGAATTTATCCAGAGAGGGCCACTCCTGCTGGGATGGGCTTGCGGCTTGAACTCCTGGGCTGTGAGATTGAAGGTAAGCAGGAGCAGCAATTACCCTTCAGGGAAATCCGATGCATTGTCTTTGCTAATTATCTTTTGTGCGTTAACAAAATACACATCAGCTTTAAGAAGGAGCAGCATTTTTGTACACATTGGTGCCAATTTGTCTGGGAGCATTAATTCTGATTTGGACAGTAGTGGCAAGGTTTTTACCATAGAGCTGAATATCACTAGAGTAAGTCCCGCATGTCCCTTCCACTGTTAGCAACAAGGAGGAGCAAAAATGGCTGCCATCATAGCAGGTTTACAGCTAGCCCAACCAGATCTGTGTCACATTTTTTGTAATATTTTTACAATAAATTAATATAACTGCTAATAATGTTTGAATTGGAATTTGAAMCAGGACTTCTGCTAGCCTCATGCCTCTTGACCATGATTGTGAGAGGGTTTCGTGCAGACGTAACCCCCATGAGTTAGCATTGTGCTAGCTGCATTTTGTGCCAAGAGAGTCATTCTTGGATGGCACAAGGGGCAAGATTCGGTCATGGCTGAACAGATGTGGTAGTGTTGTTGTGGGAATGAGCTGCTGACAGGAAGCTAAACTATTTGACGAGCACAAAAAGGTTTTTCTCAATTTACCACAATCCAGCCAAGTGCTAATAGATAAAAGCATAGTGGGGGTGTCATCAAGTCTGAACAGAGCTTAACGGTACTTCAATTTGCAGACATCTATTCACGTTTGACACGTCTTTACTCACATAGGTGAGCAATCTATCATCCAGGCTAATGACAGGACTAAAAGTAGCTTTCACATCATGTCTCCACCACAGCTCTGGTTATTTAATGATGTGCATGAAGGCTCCCTGTGTTCAGCGCACAGCTGTCCAGCTCATCCTCTTCATCCCTACAAGCGGCTGTTGTCTTGTCTCCCTGTTACATCAAAGCTGCTGCCATAGCTAGCCACTTCGAGAGGGGATCAAATGAAAGCCCACCTGGCCTGCTCAGCTTGTTGCATCCTGGCCCGCATCACTCTCTTCTCTTCATGGCCCCTGCTTGTCTTGTGTCTTTCAAAGGGATGCAAACAATATAAATTTGAAACAAACTCCCATTTTTCTCAATCTATTTTAAATTAAATAAAAAAAATGAAAATAGCATTCAGAAAGTCAGAGAAAAGCTTGAGACTTTTGCACTGTACTGTAGCACAGAAACAGCTCAGTGATACAAGAGTGTGGCGCATGTTAGCTCTAAGTGAATTTACATATTGGATTTCAGGAAGACCCCATTCTCTTGTAAGCCTCACAGACTCCTGTGGGAAGCTTTAGACAAACGACAATGCTTGTTTTTAGTGTCAATTCCGAAAACACACACACACGTAGAGACAGATGCACTCACAGCAACCACAATTACCTTACCAAACTTGTGGTTACAAGATAGTGTGTACAGTCACACACATACGCAGGTGCTTATATGTGTGGACAAGAGTGTGTGCATGCATGCATGTGTGTGTAACGTGTAGGAAGCACCAGCAGCAGGGCTAAACCCTCATTTCTGTGAGAGGCTCCCCTGACGCAGCGCTGACCTCATCCTTGACCTCTACCACCCTGAATCTGAAAGGGTTGATCTGCCTCATATTTCATCTGAGAGCAGGACGATCAGCTCACACACACACACACACACACACACACACACACACACACACACACACACACACACACAGGCTCACAATCACACACACACACAAACACACAGATACAGTACACGTTTTCAGGAAGTTTGCCCCAATCTATCTATGCCTCTCTCGCTCCACCTCTCTCCTCATTCTTTTTCCTCCGTCTGCTCTGGGGAAGCCCCATCATTACTCAGTCAGTGTAAACATCCACAAAAGGCACACACACACACACGCACACACACACACACACGCACACACACACACACACACACACACGCACACACACACACCGCAGAACGGTTGTGTGGCAAAGAAGCGTGGAGCAGATTTGGATCTATGCCTACATCCAAGTTAAGTACGGCCATAATCATAGACCACGGTAGCCCTGCTAATAGCCAGTCCCAAATCTTTTTTTTTTTTTTTTTTTTTGCATCTTGTAGCTCTAACTGCACAAGCCTCAGGCAATGCACATTCACTTCAAGTCTGTATTTATCCACCCACACCTCTGCAGCTTCATAAAAAGAGGAATGCTAATAGCTGAAACCTACACAGAAMCCCAGCATGTAATTGAGGCCAAAGCAGGCTGATCTTACATGTTTTTATATTTATTTGTTGTTGTGTTGTTTCAGCTTACTGTTTTAACTATAGGACTGTGATCATAGCCAGAGCAGGTGGAAGTGGGTGTGTGAGGGAATATGTTGATGCTACAAGAACTACAGGTATTGAAGGTGCAAAAGCAATGGTTAGAACACGAGAGAAGTGAGAACTGGGAACAGTGGATGATGAATGTCAAAGGTGAGCTGTGATAGAAGGACAGATGCAAGAGAGAAAGAGAAGATTTACGTTACATTACGACTTTAAAATAATAAATGTTTGCATCATGTTGAGCTCTATAGGTCTACGGCCTCCAGTTTTTGGTGATGTCTAGCTTTTCTGTATCCTGTTCTCTAAGCAAGTGACTTCTGACTAAAGTATCTTCCAGTTGAATGTCTTTGACAGTATCTAAAGGCTTAAACAACAGGTTATTTTATTGCTTTGTAACAATTCACAGATCATCTTGGCTAGCTGGCACTAAAAATTGTCAAAAATAATCTAAATTGTTTACTTTTTAAAAAAATGATATCCCTACCACAAACCCATAAGCAAGAGATTTTCACTTTCAGCCACCAGTTCATGTTTAACTTCCAGATCTAATCCATGGTGTCTGCTGTCTTGTCTTGTAGCTCCTACACTCCCCCCAACAACAGTGGTCCCAAGCACGACCCCWTCCGATGAGTGCGACGATGACCAGGCGAGCTGCCACAGTGGCACAGGTGATGACTACGACGAGACAGGTGCTAACATCGCCTTCATGAGACTGCGACCAACCTTTCCTTCCCTTTACTCCCGTTTCCTCCCCACTGCTTGCACTCATTCTGCTCCCTTCACTTCTTTGCAGCTAACCTGCCATTTAACTCRCAAGCATGCATGCATGCATGCAATCACATTTGCACTGGCTTTGATACAATTCTAATTAGCTGCACTGGTAGTTCTTACCTCCCTGTTTGATAGTCTTATCTCCACTTTTTAAAACTCATGTGAGGGAGTTATCCTACTGATACAAACTCACTTGCAGCAAGCAAACCCTGGCTCTTTCAGTTGTTTTGACTCACCAGATAGTTCCTCTTACTCCTCTTTACTCCCTCTTTAGTCCTTTTGGCCCAACCGTCCCAGTAGCTCCCTGCGTTGCTGCCTGCACTCCTTATTAACCAGCAGTCTCCAATGATGAGCATGGCACTGTCTCAGTCATGTGTTTTTAAAGACTTAGATTCCTAGCAGATTTACAGGGAGTTGCCAAAGTATTCACTCCTTGGTATTCCTTCTATTTTGTTGCCTTACAAACAGGAATTTCTTTGGAAATTTAACTTGATTTAAGTAATAATTCTGCAGAAGTAYTTATGATAAATGAGATTAAATGGGGGAAATACTTTTCAAAAAATTTTTTTTGAAAAACAGAAAGCTGATGTATTCACCATCTCTGCTTTGAAGGCCCTAAATTAGTTWAAAAAGGATCTACCGTAAATCTCATTTTATTTTAATATACATACACCTTTTCAGGTGCTAGTGTGGACGATTTACCTTTAAGGACAACACCATGTCTGGCTCAAACCGAATGCCTCTCATCATGTTGAAAATCCCACCCTTATAACATCCAGTAATTAAAGCAGAAATATATCCTGAAATGCCCCTCTGTCMAAGCTCAGATTTCAGTCTGACWAATAATCTCTGGTGTGATTTAAAGGTTGTTGCTCGTAATGAACACCGGTCTGACTTGAAGGAGCTGGAGCAATTTTGCCCTGAAGATTGGAAACGAACTCCAGCAGTGTATCAAACTGTAGTCGAACTTTAAGAAACATCCTGATATAACTGTTGAAAAATGGTTTCTCAACAGGCTCTAATTGTTTAAAACAAGTACTTTTCCCCATTTAGCTTCATTAATCTGAATTATGTTTATAGAAATATTCCTTAAAATCAAAAAATCCATTAAAATTCCAGATTGTAAGGTAGCAACATTTTTTTAAACATGATGGGTTTGTATAATTTTGCAACCTACTGTAACAAATGAAAATGAAGTAAAAATGGCATGTCAATAAATTAAATTTAGCTAGCACAGATGATGCATGAGCTTAGTGAGGCTTTGTGCAAAGAAATTTGATAATATTCAACTCTACGCAAGCTATGCTAATATACCAATTTGTAACAGGTGGCACTTTGGCTCCAGAGACAACTACTTCTGAAGTGGACACCATCCCAGGTGAGTAAATCAATATTTTTTCTTTGCATAAATGAAACGAGATGTCTTTAAAGATTTCCAACCATGATGATATATTGTATGAACATTTGACTTGTCATTGTTTGCTTTGGACACCTTCCCGCGTGTTTATCAGGAAACATTTTAGCTAATAAATGCCAGTGCAAGGCAGCCTCTCGTCTCTGATGTGTATCTGTTATTAAAGCTGATGATACGGCCCTGGGAGGCTCCTGCTGACAGGGTGAGAGAGGTTGTGCGATGCAAGGTTAGCTGATGATTAGCACCGGCGCGCTGCTGCTGCTGCCTTCTCAGCATAATTACTAATCACTGACTCGCACAAACACACACACACACACACACACAAAAACAGAAACCACAATGCAGATGACCAGAGGAAATTAGGTGTTCTCTGGGGCTGCATCCACTGACAAACACTCATAGCAGTGTCTCCTATAGCAGGTTGATGAGGCAGCAGCCAGCTGAGAGACTGTGCCCCAGTCTGACCTTGGCTAATGGGCCATAGGCTCCACCCTGATCCCATTCACTTTGTCAGCTGGCTCTCCGGTCTGTCTGCAGTCTGCTGGGGCAGCCGCTATGATAATGGATGGGAGCTAACGTGCGTGTGTAATTGTGTGTTTGCATTAAAAGTAACCTAGTGTCTTTAAGTAACGCCATGATTTCAGGAGTATCTAACCATGGTTCTCTGTGTGTATGTTTATGGTTGGGTCTGAGTGGGCCCTAATTTCCCACAATGTAGTTTCCATTGGTATTCAGCAGGGAAAATCTTTTTTTTAATGAATTGGCCAAGTGAGTCATGCGGCTGCTCATCTGATCCAGAGCTTGTTGCTAGCCTCAGTCGAAGCCTCTTAATAATGGAACAAAAAGGAAAAGCCAAAGTCATTTTAATTGGGAATGAAATTTGTATGTGAACGTGGCTTGGATTCTATAATGTGGTTTTGAAATGGGAATTCCATCCTTTGTGCTTAATGGGTAAATAGTAATTTTCCTGTGGAAGCTAGTTAAAACCTTAAACCATTAAAGAGATATTTTCTTTGCTCATACTTTATCATATTGAATGCAGCCTCCTTGTATCTCTGAAGGCTTTTCTTTTTTTGTGCCGCAGGGTAAAATCATGGCTGACATCCCAAATATCGCCTGCCGATGTGATTCTTGGAAGGCTTTCTCTTTCCAAT